GCTACCCGGGCCCCCTGGTAAGTTTTCCTGCCACCTAGTGGCAAGATTCTAGGTCAGCCAAGGCCTGTAGTCTCCAGCACTTCTTCACATCATTTGCTGAGGTGTTGACTGTCTCAGGAGAGGGTGGGGTCCTCTTCTAAGTGTCCGAGTTCCTTCCTCTTCACTCTGTTAGGGTAGTAGTTGCTTTCTGCACTTGCTACTTTTATATTTTAGAAAAATCCTGTTTAGTAGTTATCTTCTACTCATTAACAATTCTTTAACGTTTCCCTTTTCAAGTGTGGTTTTTACTCAATGTTCCCTGACTCTGGGTAATAAGATCTAGAGGCTTAATCAAATTTGAGTCTAATTAGCAGTAGGGACAAGAATACTTCACAGATTGTGTTCTGTGCTTCTAGTGCATCACGTGAGAGCCACATATCCGGTTGTCTTTTTTAAAAGTTTGTATTAATTTTTTTGTAGAGATGGGGTATCTCTGTTGCCCAGGCTGGTCTCAAACTCCTGGGCTTAAGCAATCCACCTGCCTTAGCCTCCCAAGTGCTGGGATTACAGGCGTGAACCACTGCACCCGGCCCAGTTGTCTTCGTTTTGTTAAGATGGAGTCTCACTCTGTCGCCCAGGCTGGAGTGCAGTGGCACAATCTTGGCTCACCGCAAACTCGGCCTCTTGGGTTCAAGCAATTCTGCCTCAGTCTCCTGAATAGCTAGGATTACAGGCCCCCGCCACCAGTCAGCTAATTTTCTTGTATTATTAGTAGAGACAGGGTTTCACCATGTTGGCCAGGCTGGTCTCGAACTGCTGACCTCAAGTGGTCTGCCTGCCTCGGCCTCCCAAAGTGCTAGGATTAGAGGTGTGAGCCACCGCACCGAGCCAAAACTTGATAATTTTCATTGCAGATTTCTAAATGTTAAACAAGCATGAGATGGCACTGCTTAATAATGGCTACTACTTGTCATGCCAGACTATTGACTCCAGTGGGGATGGCGCCATGTGAGGGAGGCTGAAGAAGAGATGTGGAGACAGTGAATGAGACATAGGGTTTATTGTGGACTTACATTACACAGCAGTCCAGGAGCAGTGGGCTGGACAGGAAAATTGGTACTGTTTTTTGTTTTTGTTTTTGTTTTTGTTTTGAGATGGAATCTTGCTCTGTCACCCAGGCTGGAGTGCAGTGGTGCAATCTTGGCTCAGTGCAAGCTCTGCCTCCCGGGTACATGCCATTCTCCTGCCTCAGCCTCCCTGGCAGCTGGGACTACAGGTGCACACCGCCACGCCTGGCTAATTTTTTTTTTTTTTTTTTTTTTTTTTTTATCTTTAGTAGAGAGGGGGTTTCACCGTGTTAACCAGGATGGTCTTGATCTCCTGACCTCATGATCCACCCACGTTGGCCTCCCAAAGTGCTGGGATTACAGGCGTGAGCCACCGTGCCCATCCATAAATTGCTACTGTTTTTAAAAAGCATGCAGTTTAACATATTTTCGCTTAGCAACCTCTACCTAGCAACTTCCACTTAATCCAATACAAAGGGCCACCATTCCCTATACAGCCTGCATTCCAAGGAATGGGGCAGGGGTATGGACGTCCTTCACTGATAAGGAGAGCCTCTGGATTGGCCACTCCTGGATTCCTTAACTTGGAACTCCAAACATACATTCTTCTTAGACCACAGGGTCACTTCCCAGGGTATGCCTGAGTTATTGTTGTCAAGTATGTCTGCCATAGACTGCTACTCAGGATGGTAGAAAAGGAGCTGTGGTGGCTCACACCTGTAATCCCAGCACTTTGAGAGGCTGAGGCGGGCAGATCACTTGAGGTCAGAAGTTTGAGACCAGCCTGGCCAACATGGTGAAACCCCATCTCTACAAAAATAGAAAAATTAGCTGGGGGTGGTGGCATGTGTCTGTAGTCCCAGCTACTCAGCAGGCTGAGGCAGGAGAATGGCTTGAGCCCAGGAGGCTGGCTTGGACCCAGGAGGCAGAGGTTGCAGTGAGCCGATATCATGCCACTGTACTCCAGCCTGGGCAACAGAGCAAGACTCCGTCTCAAAAACAAACAAACAAACAAAGAGCTGGGTGCTTTGCTTGTTGACAGATCTAGATTTTAAAATCTTTTCAGGGATAGAGAATAAGGATCAGTCAACGATGGCCCACTGCTTATTTTTGTATGGCCTCAAGCTAATAATGATTTTTATGTCTCGAAGGGTCAGAAGGAAACCAAGCCCTGATACGAAGCAGCCTGTATTAAAGCACTTCTAGGTGAGAGGTGTAACTGTGAAATAATAGGTTTGCATTACAGCAGTGGTTTGTGACCTTTGGGTGGAAAGTCACAGATCCAAACTCTAGAATGATGAACTCTACCCTAAAAATGCTCATACACAAAACAGCCTGTTCCACTCCCAGGCATCTCAGGCCCCAAAGGAAGAACTTTTTATCACTGTTAATATTGTTGCTGGTCTGCTCAGGCTGCCACAAAACACCACAGGCTGAGTGGCTTAAACAGAAATTTATTTTCTCACAGTTCTGGAGGCTGGAAATCCAAAATCAAGGAGACGGCCAGCGCGGCTATCTGGTGAGACTTTTCTTCCTGGTGTGTAGACAGATAGCCACCCTCCCCATGTCCTCACAGGGCTTTTCCTCCGTGCAGGCAAACTCCTGGTGTACCTCCCTCTTCTTACCAGGACACTAGTCACTTAACAGGACACTAGTCCTGTTGGGTTAGGGACTCATTCTTGTGACCTCATTTAACCCCCTTATAAACGCTCCGTCTACAATCACATAGCGGGTTAGGCTTTAACCTGTGAATTTTAGGGGGACACAGCTCAGTCCATAACACTGTAAATACTACATCTGAGTATAATTGAGTACTGTATTTACAGTAAGGATTCCTATCTAAGTTCTAAGAGACCATGCGTTCCAGGTGGTTTGTTGCTGAATCCTAGGCACACGTTGAGGATTCCTTCTTGCTGAATTAACGAATGTTAGTGAGATCAGACTAACACACATGAAAATTCGTGAAGGGATATAAGGTGATAAATATCACAGATTAAAATACTGTAGCAATCCAGAAAAGAAACTCAGAATAATCTAATTAAGACAAGTTCTGCCCCCTCCCCTTTTTAAACAAGACAACTACCTATGCTTGGTATTATTTGCATATAAGAGGATATTGTTGCTGGCATTAGGTATTATTTGCATATAGGAGGATATTGTTGCTGGCATTAGGTATTATTTGCATATAGGAGGATATTGTTGCTGGCATTAGGACATTCACAGATTAAGAGCCAACCCAGAGTTCAAGTGGCTTATACAGGGTATAGGCAGATGCTGGAAAGTCAGGAGGAGAAACTGAGACCTGGAGCCTTAAATGGTAAACTGTGTCTAAGTTTGAACTGGAAAACCATAATTTTGGCAGAAAAGAAAGTGGTAGATTAGGTAACTTAAAAACTATTTCAAAGAATTTATTTATTTTTTTGAGATGGAGTCTCTCACTCTGTCACCCAGGCTAGAGTGCAGTGGTGCGATCTCAGCTCACTGCAACCTCCACCTCCTGGTTCAAGTGATTCTCCTGCCTCCGCCTCCTGCATAGCTGGGATTACAGGCATGTGCTAGCACACCTGGCTAATTTTTGTATTTTTAGTAGAGATGGGGTTTCGCCATGTTGGCCAGGCTGGTCTCAGACTCCTGACCTCAAGTGATCTGTCCAACTTGGTCTCCCAAAGTACTGGGATTACAAGCGTGAGCCATTGCGCCTGGCCTATTTCAAAGAATTCTGAGTAATAAAATTCAGGGAAACATACTATATATCCACAAAATGATTCAGCTAAAATAAAATAGTTCTGATAAAGACGCCCATGTGGTCTTTATTGTTTGGTGGGAGGGAGACAGTTTACACCATAATGCTACCTATTTCTCTGTGCAGAATTTGTATTGTCCTAAGCTGTGAACTAGCTCAAAGCTGAAAACTCTGAAGGACCAATCCTCTAGCAACAGGGATACCCTCTACTCCATTTTGAAGAAAATCTGATGTAAATTTAAGGGATTTTGTGTCCAAGTTGAGCGCTCTCTCCTTCACTATTTGAATCTGCCTTTCAAAAAGTCATTTGGAATTGAACAGTTTACATCAAAATTACATTCCTAACAGATTCTAGTTTGTCCTTCAAATGAAATTAGGTGTATTTATAGAGAATTCTGTTAACGCATGTAGTATTAGGTGTTTAGGTTTTGCATAATAAAGGCTAATGCAATACAGAGTCCCAATAACATTATGTTTTAATCTAATGGGGCAATATTCTAAATAACAAACATCAGAAATGTTAACAAGCAATTCATTTATTTTTTTGAGACAGGGTCTCATTCTGTCGCCCAGGCTGGAGTTGCAGTGGCATGATTTTGGCTCACTGCAACCTCTGCCTCCTGAATTCAAGTAATTCTCATGCCCCAAGTAGCTGGGACTACAGGCATCAGACACCATGCCCGACTGATTTTTTGCTATTTTTTGTGCAGATGAGGTTTCGCCATGTTGTCCAGGCTGGTCTTAAACTCCCGGGTTCAAGTGATCCACCCACCTTGGCCTCCCAAAGTGGTAGGATTACAGGCATGAGCCACCGTGCCTGGCCTGCAATTTTTTTTTTTTTCTTTGAGACGGAGTTTTATTCTTGTTGCCTAGGCTGGAGTGCAATGGAGCTCAGCTCACTGCAACCTCCACCTCCCAGGTTCAAGCGATTCTCCTGCCGCAGCCTCCCAAGTAGCTGGGATTACAGGCATGCGCCACCACACCCGGCTAATTTTTTGTATTTTTAGTAGAGACAGGGTTTCTCCATGTTGGTCAGGCTGGTTTCAAACTCCTGACCTCAGGTGATCCGCCTGCCTCAGCCTTCCAAAGTGCTGGGATCACAGGCGTGAGCCACCGCACCCAGCACCCAGCCCCCAGCCCCCTGGAATTCATTTTTAAGTTAAGTTACATAAATGTTTTGTTGCTTCAACAGAAGAATAGATGCCAGGGTGCTCTTTTAAAAAATTCATCTATGTAAACACATCTTAATACTAATTTGAGTCACTACTTTTATTCTTTATTATCACATTTTCCAAGTTTTGGCACCCAAACTTGGCAAACATCATGGAGATCTGTACAAACATACATACACATATATACACACACATTTATAGCCCCAGCTGCTTCACTAAACCTTGTGCTCAGGCTCCTGTTAAAAGAGGTAAAATGGTGAGAAGATAAAAATCAGGGAAAACATGAATAAATGCTGATTGACAAATCTTGTTGTTATGAATTTGTAAGGCAGACTTTCTAAAGCAAAATCCATCACCTTGCTAAAATTTCCACTAAGCTACAGCTTCAGATATTTACAAGAAAAATAAATACCTTCTAAGATACTTCAATGTGGTTTAACAGCAAGCTAGCTGAGGAGCTGTACTTTGTTGTTATTTCAGGTAACTTTTTATTAAGAAACAGTTAATATTGCAGTGATTAAAATTTCAGGTGTTCAAAACTCAAGAAGGGTCATCATTATACTCTGAGGCGGAAGCCTTCAGGCACTCATCCTTAAACTACGACCCAAATCCGCCACAGTCACATTCAGGCTTTCAATTTTTAAAAACATTTAATGTTTGGTAACTAAAGAGTAGATGCGATTAGTGTACTCTAGGTCGTTTCATTTTATTTTTTTCTGTAGGAGCTTTCCTCTTTTGTGATAATCCAGTCCCAAGTTCCTTATTATTCTGAAGAAATGAAATAGCTTCTGGTAGACAGTAATTTTCTACATGAGGAGGTGATTCCTATAAAAGGAAAAATAAATGATTTTTTAAAATGATTTCAAACATTTGCATGATCCAGTAATAGATTTTTTTCTTTAAATCTCCGACCTCTCAGAGATGAATCTGACAAACGTCAAGGAAAATGCATATTCATTCCTACGTTCCAGTAAATTAAACAAAATGGACCCTGTGGGACAAAGCCCCACCTGTTGTCAGAGAAATACGCGTATCGCTCAGGTAGAGTGCGGCTAGCTCAGATCTTACAAACATTCCATATTGATGTTTTTAATCCCCATTTCAGAGATAAAATAAAAAAGGTTAAATAAAACAACCAGTGTCACATAACTAGCAGGTAGTAAAGCCAAAATTCATAACCGATCTGACTCCAAAACCCTTGCATTTTTCAACCACAACCATTTCCCAACATAGAAGAAATGGATCTTTTCCCCCTTATTATAAGTGTAATAATACTTAATTTTCCAGCAATATGGCAGACTGGGCAACCTGAAAATGAATCACCACAAAATACTAAGTAAATGCCTTTTGATTCAATTCTTCCATGGATAACAACTACAAACACTGACCAAAATATACTAAAAGCAACCACAGACCCTGGAGAATAAACAAACCTAGCAAATGTGGGGCTGGGGACGCAAACACAGTGTATGAAGTAAACTGCCTGTTAAACAACACAGTACTCTTTGGAGGAGCAGAAGAACAGAATCTAGTTTCTTTTTTACGGGGAGATGGGGTCTTGCTGTGTTGCACAGGCTGGTCTCAAACTCCTGAGCTGAAGCAATCCTCCTGTCTCAGCCTCCCAAGTAGCTAGGACTACAGGCGTACCACCATGCCGGACTTGAATCTAAAGTTTCTACAACTTATTCATGACGTCCAGAATATATCCAAAATTAAGCAATTGCTTTGTAAAGAAGCAAAACATGACCCATTCTTAAGAAAAAATGAATCATTCAAATAAACAGAAATACTTAGGCATAAGCTTAAAAAAACATATATAGGATCTATATACTGAAAATTACGAAATGTTTATGAAAAATTAAAGACCATCTAAATTAATAGAAATGCCATGTTCATGGAAGACTCAATGTGGTAAAGATGCTGATTCAAAATGATCTGTAAGTTTAATGAAATTCCTATCAAAATCGCAACAAGGTTTTTATAGACATACATAAGCTTATTTTAAAATTTACATAAAAAGATACAGGCAAAGAAAAGCTGCTACAATAGCTAAAACAATCTTGAAAGAGGAATAAAGTGGAAGGAATCACCAGCTGATATTGGAGTTTATGCAGTTATCAAGACAGGGCAGTATTAGAGAGGGACAGACAGACACATGGATCAATGGAATTGAAAAGAGAACCCAGAAACAGACTCACATAAATATGACCAAATGAATTTTTTTTTTTTTGAGATGGAGTCTCGCTCTTGTTGCCCAGGCTAGAATGCAATGGTGCGATCTTAGCTCACTGCAACCTCAGTCTCCTGGGTTCAAGCGATTCTCCTGCCTCAACCTCCTGAGTAGCTGGGCCTACAGGCATGCGCCACCATGCCTGGATAATTTTTGTCTTTTTAGTAGAGATGGGGTTTTGCCCTGTTGGCCAGGCTCGTCTGGAACTCCTGACCTCAAGTTATCCACTGAGCTGCACCGGGCCAAATCAACTGAATTTTGACAAAGGTGCAAAAGCAACTCAGTGAAGAAAAGACAGTTTTCTGAACAAATGCTGCTGGACATTCTAAGGAGGAAACAATCCCAAGAGACAACAAGAAAATTAGCCAGGTGTAGTAGGTATCACTATACCTACTGAAAAGGCAAAAATAAAAAGCACTGATATCGCTAAATGCTCATGAGGACACAGAAACTCGATCATTCATACACTGCTCGGTGGGAGGAACGCTTGAGCCCAGAAGTTTGAGACCAGCCAGGGCAACATGATGGGAACCCATCTCTATTAAAAAAAAAAAAAAAAATCAAAAGTCTCACTAGATGGGCTTCAGAGCAGGATGATGATAACAGGAACACAATCAGTGAAGTTGGAGGCAGATAAATAGGAATCAGCAATCAAAAGAACACAAAAAAAGATTGCAAAAAAGTGAACATGGCCTTAGGAACACATGGGACAAATAAAAAGTTCTAACATAAGTAACTGAATTTGCAGACAGTGAGGAAAGAATGGAGCAGAAAAAATATTTGAAGAAATAATGGCCAAAATTTCCCAAACCTGGTGAAAGGTGTTAAGTTTGCAGATTCAAGAAGCTCTGCAGACACCAGGCAGGATTAATACGAAGAAAACCACACCTGGATATATCAAATGGTTGAAAACCAAAGACGAAGAAACTATTGAGCAGCCAGGAAAAAATGACACATTGAATACAAGGGAACAATTCAAATGACCATTACTGATTTCTCAACAGAAACAATGGAGGCCAGCAGGCAGTGAAGTCCTTAATAAAAGAAAAAAACCCGTCAATCTAAAATTCTGTATCCTGCAAAAATGTCCTTCAAGAATGAAGGTAGAACAGACATTTCATATAACAGAAAGCTAGAATTGATCCCCAATCGACCCGCACTCCAAACTAAAGTTAGTTCTTCAGGCTGAAGGAAAATGTAATCAGATGGAAACTCGGATCTTCAGGAAAAAATGACTCTCAAACTGGTATACATGAGAGTAATTATAAAATACTATTTTTTATTTTAGTTTCCTCAAAATGCACAGAAGTGTTAAAAGCAAAACCTATTTGAAGTAAAATCTTATTTGGGGCTATAAGATGTAGATGTAAAAACTATGACAACTACTGCATAAAGCAGAGGTCAGCATACCTTCTGTAAAAACTCAGAAATATTTTAGATTTTGTGGGATAGATGATTTGTGCTGAAACTACTTAACTCTGCCATTATAGTGCAAAAGCAGCCACAGAGAATACATAAATGAGTAAGTATGGCTGTATTCCAACAAACCTTTATTTATAAAATAGGCAGTGGGCCAGATATGGCCATGGGGCTACAGTTTAGTGACCCCTGGTATAAAGGACAGGGGAAGCAAATGAACCAACTTGGATGCAAGAGATCTTTTTTTTTTTTTTTGAAGCAGAGTTTCACTCTTGTCACCTAGGCTGGAGTGCAGAGGTGCGATCTTGGCTCACTGCAGCCTCCGCCTCCCACGTTCAAGTGATTCTCCTGCCTTAGTCTCCCAAACAGCTGGGATTACAGGTGTGCACCACCACACCCAACTAATTTTTGTATTTTTAGTAGAGACAGGGTTTCACCATATTGGCCAGGCTAGTCTCGAACTCCTGACCTCAGGTGATCTGCCCGCCTTGGCCTCACAAAATGCTGGGATTACAAGTGTGAGCCACCGTGCCCGGCCTCAGTAAGTAATGTATAATCTACATATAAATA